GCCAATCATATATATAGGTATGAATTTATGCTGGCTGCTTATGTATACGATAGGCCAGAGCTGGGCAAAGTGCGGTCCATGAGACATCAAAACCATTTATAACTTTTTATCTAAAGTTGATCAGTTGCTTATCTTTAACATACCACAAAAAACCTCTTTAGTATTTGTGAAGATTAACAAGTTTAAAATAAAAGCAATAATGACATCACTGTTTCATTTTATTTTTAAGTAAAGTTGGTTTGGCCCCCGAACACAGTTCAGATCTTTCATGTGGCCCCTCCTATAGAAATTAATTGCCCACCACTGTGATAGGCTTTTTTGCCACTTTAGTTCTTGCTCGTAACACAAGACACATTTGTTACCTTAACTGTAAACGGTTGTAATCTGTTAACTAGAGAAAGAAAACAAGCAGGATACATACACTAATCTGCTGCCCAGAGTAGACTGTCTAGATGGGCGGGGTATAACTCTAATAAAATAAATAAATAAAAATAATCCCATTTTTTCTTACCTGAAATTTGCTGTGTATTTTGCTTGTCTTCTGTTCCTTTTATGCAGCTTTCATAAGATAACAGGGAGCTAGCTTAAGCTGCTATACTGGCTGTATGCTGCTGGGTTTTTTATGCAGTATATCTCAGGCACAGGATTCAGGAAACAACCATTCCCTGAGATCATGTGTTTCAAACAACAGCATAGTAATTCTTGCTGTGTACTCTACAGCTATTTGTTGAACTAATTTTGCACTCCACCTCTAGTTCTTTTTTGCTTGTGGCCTGTTTAGAAGATATGGAGACAAACTTCCCTTTCTAGCCCTCCTTCTGAAGGAGTGTTTGCAGCCCACAACATTTGGTCAGCTATATACTTACAGTTTAGATATTTCGTGCTAGCATAAGCCCATTGAATCAGTAGGGATTTAGTGAGTCAGTTTCTTCACAAATTCACTTGGTTCAAATGGAAACACTGTAACTGCAACTTAAAGGTAAATGTTCCCCTTGACATTTTTAGTCTAGTCGTGTCTGACTCTAGAGGGCGGTGCTCATCCTGTTTTTCAAGCCGTAGAGCCAATGCTTGTCTGAAGACAGTTTCCGTTGTCACGTGGCCAGTGTGACGAGGGGACGCCATTTTACCTTCCCACCGAGGTGGTACCTATTTATTTACTCGCATTTACATGCTTTCGAACTGCTAGGTTGGGAGGAGCTGGGACGAAGCGACAGGAGCTCACTCCGTTGCGTGGATTCGATCTTACGACAGCGGGTCTTCTGACCCTATAGCACAGGCTTCTGCGGTTTAGCCCACAGTGCCACCACATCCCCTAACTGCAACTTTAGTACATTAATTTACCCTACAGAGGAATTGACTCACCAAATAACCATTGATTCAGTGGGCCTATGCTGATGTGATTTACTGCACTAAGCAACAGGATTATGGGCACTGACCTAATAGAGATCCCCTCAAATTGTATTTCAACTTGTGCTTTCCTAAATCTCTCTTGACTTTAGATTTTTGAAAAGTTTAGGCATGACAGCATTTGTATTGCATTTAATATAGGATAAACTGTGTTACTCATGTACTGTTATCAGATAAGTGTCTGTTTTAGTAAGGATTCTCAGTTTTGTTAACTGTAAGCATGAGAGGAATCTGAGCCTTACTCTTCACACTGGACTGAGGCAGGGAATGTAGATTATTCCTGTAGCTGGGAAGTCTTGGGAGAAATAACAAAAGTGTGGCCTATCCCTTGTACTCAGAATCATAATCTTTATCACCTTAGAATAGCAGAGCTGGAAGGGTTCCCAGAGATCATCAAGTCCAGCAGGGAATTGAACTCCAAGAAAGTGTCTGTGATAGCCTTTTGATGCTGACCAAGAAACCCCTACTCTCTTCCCTAACACCAGGCTCAAACCAGAAATGGGAAAAGGATGGTCTGCACAGTTGTCCTGGACTTCAGACACAAGCCAACTGCCCTTAAAGCCTGTGGAAATGATCCCTTGCCTTATGGAGATGCAGACTGAGTTCATAGACAAGGAAGTTGTCAGTATTAGCCAAAAAAAGCACTTTGACTTGCACAGGGTGGATTTTATTTAAATCAAATTGATTTATATCCTAATTTCAATTTTTATTATTGAAATTTTAACTATGTAATTAAAAATTGGTTTTAAAACTTTAATCATTATTTAAATCAATTTGATTTTTAAAAATCATTGATTTTTTTCCCACCTGGACTTGCTTACTAAAACTTGCTAAAAATTATACATATCTTTCTGCTTGTCAGTGGGAAATGCAGTTGTTGTCATCTAGTTATGCTGAGGGTGATAGTTATGTAAATAGCAAAATAGTTTTGAAACGTCTGGAGCTGAGATTATTGTATAATGTTAAAAATTCCATTTGGATTGAAATCTGCACTGTTGCACATTGAAAGAAAGGTTTATTGGATGAATCCTATTTGCTACCCTTTGCAGTGGAATTTTCAGTGGCTTCCTGTTTAATATCTTTAATATTTGAAGGTGATTTTTAGTATGCACTATTTATATCTCAGACTCTGGCAGTGAATTGATTAATTTGGTATAGTATTTTGGAATTACACAACTTTACATTTTGAGTGAATCAAGAGAGGAAATTTAAAACATACCTCTATGGTTGTAAAAAAAGTCACAGTAAACAAATGTCCCTATTAGAGGGGAAACTGAAAACTGTTGAGATGTTTTGTTTTTTATTTTTTGAAATCCATAACTAAGAGTGAACATATTAAGAGAACAATTTAGAGAACAATTTCATGTACCAGAGTTCCAGTGTATTAAATATATAGACATGCATTTTCCCTAGTGGCCAAAATCCTGTTGCTTTCTGTAGTAAATTGCACTAGAATCAATGGGGATTTTGCTTAGCATAATAACTTGCAGTTAAAATATACCCATTTAAATAAGTGGAACCTATGAAGGAATTGTCTCACTAAATCCCCATTGATTCATTGGGCTTATTCTATCGTGATGTACTGGGTTAAGCAGCAGGATTTGAGCCAGTATTTAGTGTTAAAGTCCAACATGAAGACAGATTGATGATTGAGTTTTAGTAAAAGGAAGAAAACTCTGTTCTACTCTTAGCCTGAGAACTAGTAATAAATAATATTTAAAGATAAGTTATTGCTACACTTCAATAATAGACGAAGTAATAGCCCTCACTCACGCCTAGATCTGTGATCCTATACCAGCGATAGCGAATCAATGGCACACATACCACAGCTGGCACACGGAGCCCTTTCTGTTAGCACAGGAGCCATAAGCTGCCAGATTGCTACTCCCCCCCCCCGCTCAATCAAACCTGAGAAGGCGGCTGCAGCCACGGTGCTGGCGCTTTGGCAGGCGGATCCGGAGTGGGGTCTCGCGGCACCTCTCTGCCGGGATTCCCCCTTCTGCCACCACTTCCAGTTCTGCCGCAGCAGCGGGGGCACACCACCTGCTGTTTTTTTTTCCTCCAGTTTGGGCACGCGAGCCAAAAAAGGTTTTCCACCACTGTCCCATACATTTTAGATAGGAGTGGGCAAAGCATGGCCCTGCAGGTAAAGTTGGGCTGCAGCTCCCTAACCCTAACTCTTGCCACTATACCCAGTAGTGAGAAATACTGGAAATTGCGGTCAAACTCTATCTTGGAGGACTACTGTGACCATCCCTGCTTTAGAGTCAGTATATACATACTGTATTAGATGAAATTAAGTCTGCATGACACCTGTTTCGTGTTGAGTCATTCTAGTTCATCAGGACACTGGTTGAAGCACCATAGAGATAAACCATGTGGAGGTGCCATTGAAGTGGCAAGCAAAATCAGAAAAATACTGTATTGGCTTAAGTGGCAATAGCATAGTAAGCTGACTCCACCTGGTCATGATAGCACAGATAGTGCTAATAATAAAATTAGTGGCCTCTAAAATTTCTTACACAGAATGATCAATGAGATAATAACTAAAATACTGTTGTGTAACATAAGCCTTCAGAAGGGCAGTGACATCTATCATGGGGTAATGCTCAATAATTAAAAATTTCCTACTTCTGTCCCATGGCTTTTCTGACTCCTGTGTAATGCCTTTTCTTCATGTGGAAATCATGGGGACTGTGAGATGGAAGAAGGGAGTCTTTAATTCTCCCAAATCTTCCTCAACTTGTAATCTTTTCTGGTGACAGCAATTTTTGGTAATGAAAGATTTCCTCCTTCTGCCAGTGTCTTTCACATTATGAAGAAGATTAAACAGGAATTGGAAAAGCTATAGGACCAGAAGTAGGAAGTTTTTAATAACTGAAAATCACCTCTTTTCACTAGCCTGCACAGCTGAAATCCTGTTGATGTAAATACACCAGCCTTCTGTAATGTCTTTACACTAACAGGATTTCAGCCACTGAATACAGTGTATTTAATTTAAATACCTTTATGATCACTTGCTACCCTGTTTCCCCTAAAATAAGACCTAACCTGAAAATAAGCCCTAGTATGATTTTTCAGGATGCTCGTAATATAAGTCCTACTCCAGAAATAAGCCCTAGTTAAGTGAAATCCCGCCCTCTATCGTTGTGCAACAACCAGAAGATGACTCGACTGCATTTGAATAAATGTAGATGGTTGTACATGACAAAAATAAAACATCCCCTGAAAATAAGCCCTAATGCATTTTTGGAGCAAAATTTAATATAAGACCCTATTTTATTTTCGGGGAAACAGGATACTTACACTTTGAAGTGAGCCCAGCTGTGCAGATTACTGTTTTCATAATATATCTGTTTGGGCTCTATTAACCCAAATTGACAGTTTTATTAAGATTTGGGATATACAAACCAGTTTTGGTTACTGGGGGGGGACCAAAACTTAAGGTACACTCTTTCTAGTGTACATTTTAAAGGATGTATAGAGAATTTTCCTAATTAAAGCATTGGACTTTGCATTATTTTAATTAGACAGGTTAGGAAATATAGAGATGAGTTGGGTTCTGGTGATTGATGTTTAATTGCATTTTTCAGGGGAATAAAAGCAGCGGCTTATAACAAAATGAGAAAACATCCACCAAACAGAAGAGGTATCAGCTTTGAAGTGGGAGCCCAGTTGGAAGCCCGAGACAGATTAAAAAACTGGTATTTCTTATTTCATGATAAAACGTGGATACATTTTTTGTGATGCTGTCAGATTGTGTTATAAACAGGGAGTCAAACCAAAAGAGTTCCAGTCCAAGTTTTGTATTAATTAAGCTGTTATCAAATTTCTACTGGTTCAGAACAATAATGTTGCAGTAACTCATTTGATACATCTGAACCAGTTGGTTTTGTTCCAGTTCATATGGAAAAACTTAAATTATAATGCTTGTTTGCATATGATAAATTATTAGTATCAAATTGATATTTTTCTAATGTTCCAAAGTGCTATCTGTTCTACTGTTAATGCTAAATAATTTACATATTGGGCGTAAAGAAGTATACATATGTTTGTATAACTGGAAGTTTAGAAAGAGAGTATTTCAAAAAACGTTAAGGCCAGGTTCAAATGTGATGGTGTCACTTAAACAAACAGTGTTTTATTGAAATGTAAATGAGCGGTGAACTCAAATGTTCCTTTCCTTTTCCTTGCATTTTTCACTTGAAACAGACTTCCTGGTCTGTAAGAGCCTTCTAGTGTATGATCCAAGAAGCTGGTTTAAATATTGCATACAAGTCAGCATTTCAAATTACATTGGCTGAGTTTGAATATTATGCTATGTTGTGGTTTAGCAACATACAAGTAAGCCTAGGCTTATCCATGCTTGTCTTCTCTTTCCTCTTTATGTATGATCAGGAGGACCCAGTTTGCTTCTACTATTTATTGACTACCACTTGGCATTTTATCCAAATCTGCCATACAGATTTTGACTATTTCATTCTAAACAAGCCAGTTGTAGTTTAAACTAGTTAGAGGCTAAAGTAACCACATTTCTGACAACACATGAAGCTGTGTTTAAAAACAGTGAATGGAAAGTGAATTCCTCCTGCCTGTGCTGTGGGGATGGGACTTCAATGTCTTAAGGATTTCCACTCTTATTATTCATCAAGGATCCTCAGGGTTGAATTGTGAAAGTGAAAATCCTGAATCTGACAGAAGGTAGAGCAGCCTTCTCACCTTCCTGCTGTTCCTATGCTGTTTCTCCATTCAGTGGGAAGGAAAGTGTCCTGCTACACGATGGGAGTCACAGGGATTTCCTGTGACCTGAAGAAGTGCATGGAGGGCAAGTTCTGACAGAAGCTAACTTCACATAGAGAGTGTGGAGGCATCCTGAGAAGTGCATGTTTTGTAAGTTGCAGGGAATCCTTGCTAACCCCATAGTGAAGCAGAGCACTTTTCTTTCTGCTGAACAGAGAAGAAATATGGGAACAGCAAAGAGATGAGGGAATAGCACTACATTCTGCCTGTTCAAAGGCTTCATTCCCATAATTCCGCCTGGGGGGGGGTTCTGCCAAATTTACAGGAGTGGATGTCAAGAAGATATAAAAGTCTCATCCCTGCTCTGCTGACAGGAGAGGGGAATACTTAAGCCTGAGGAGAGGTAAAACTCATTCATATGTTGCTAAACCATAGTTTGACATACCATCTGAAAATACTGCACATGTTTGAACCAGGCCTAATGTTATAAAGAATGACTGAAAACACTAGCATGGGAGAGGCACTTTGCAGTGCTCAGAAATACTGTATTTTCCTCCTCTTTCCACCCAAGGCTGTTCAGTCTTCTTACATTGGATTGAGTGTTTAAAGGAAGAGATTTCTATCCTGCTTGCCACAGAAGCCTGGATAAAAACTAATCTGTATGAAAATTCTTCTAGATATTAGTTCTGCGATTTCGTTATTCATTCTTGTTGAACCCAGTAAGTGTATTATCACATCAGTTATTTTTAGTTAAACTCTTATTCCAAACTGATACTAATATCCTGTACTTTTCTCTGATTCTGTTCCTATTCTGGTTTAACCAGTGATATGGGGCAAAAAATGTTATCTAATGAAATTTTCCCCACTGTTGTATTTTCTGTGATAAAGTCTTTCATTCCTAAAAAGCATTGTTTTGTAAATTAATAACATAATGACTGGATGTAATACTAGTCAAATTAGGCAGTTTCAAAGGTGCACTTAACATAATCCAGCTGCCTGCTGCCAGAGGTGTGCATGCATATATTACAAATAGAAAAACACAGTCTTTGAGCATGCTAAAATTATTGTGCTAACAACCTTCAGTGCTTTCAGGCTATTTTAAAACTAAAGATAGTAAGCTTCTATATACTGTTATATTCTCCTGTTTTCAAATTATGTCCAACTAACCAATTGTCTAATAAAAGTAATGTCCAGCTGAATATTTGCATTTATTTGAATATAACAGTTAAACCATATTAATTTTTTTGGCTAATCAAAATTTTATTCAGCATATAAAATTGTTTTTAACTTAATGTGAAATATGCTGAATTAGTTATGTGTTGATTTAGGATGTTAATAAAACCTGATTCAAACATTGCTGAAAAACTGACGTCACTGGGTTCAGCACATAGAAATATCATTGACTTCCAAGTTCGACAAAATAATTATTTGATTGGGTTTTTATTTATTTGGGTTCGGTTTGACTCCCTGCCATCAAATTTGTTCTTTTCTTAAATGTTCATGTAGTATTCATGTACTTCTTCCCTCATGTTTTAATTTCATGTCTGCCAACATGTAATGCAATGTCATTGTATTGTGTCTACTCAGAAGCAAGCACTCTTGCATTTTGTGGCGTACTCTATGACAGGATTGTCACTTTAGTTATCAAATATAAAGTTGGTATGGGCTCTGGGTGTGTTTCCTGCACTAGGAACATCTAATTTCTGTTTTTCTTGGGAGTCTAACATTCGTGGTAGGGGTATCCTATCACCGCCAGAGAAACCATAGCTACAGGGTTTTGTGTGCAAACAACCTAATATTGTACACCTCGCATTTCCAATTAAAAGAATCAGATTATTGAGAAAGGCCTCTGCCACATTGTAGAGATTACAGGGCTAGAGGTGCACTTAAGGCATATTTTCTCTGTCTAAATCAGTGGTTCTTAACGTGGGCAATAATGCCCCCCAGGGGGCGATTTCATTTTTCAGGGGGGCGGTA